TTTTTCTTGTTTTAAATAATATTAAAAAATGATATCCATCTGTCTTCTTTTTTTTTTTCTAATTGGTATTTATTTTAAGGAACACAAGAAAAAAATAGGAAACCAAACGATTGACATAATTATTTCACTTGGTCACTCCGGACGTTACAGTCCACTTGCATGGGGTCCCAAGTGGGGGCAATGACTCACCCGGAGGAATTGTGCTGAAAAGTCATTACCGCCACCCGCAGGACTGGAGTTGAAGTTGAGTATCTCCATGCGTGTCCTGATTTCCTCGAGTGAATCAGACGCATTTGGGGTTGTTGAGCCTTGGGGGAGGTCAGCTCTCTTCCGACTGACGTTCTGCGCCGTCTTCTCTAGATGCTCCGATGACCCCCTTCGTGTCGCCGAGTGATCCAGGTGAAATAGTGGAGGGCGATCGGCTGATCCTGACCTGCAGAACCAACCCCGCAATATCATATAGACACCGATGGTTTAAGAAGATCAGAAACACTGGCATTCTAGAAATAAGTGACGGAGAACAGCTGGTCTTCAAGGCTACCAAGTCTTCAGACTCAGCCGAATATTTTTGTACTGCGGAGAACGAGCTGGGGGCGAAGATGTCAGAACCCGTCCAAGTCGATGTGAAATGTAAGGCTCGGTACAGCGGTGTAATAGTTGACGACTCAATTGAGCATCTCAACAACGAGGCCTACTTTGTGTCCCGCAGATGCTCCCAGGAACTGCTCCTTGCTGGTGCGTCCCTCCAAATTCCCCGAGGAGGGCCAGTCCGTGACTCTGACCTGCAGCAGTTACGCAAAGCCGGAGACGAACTACACGTTGTACAAAGACGACCAACCCGTGCGCCTGGAATCAGGAGGAATTTACCGCTTCATCTCCATCCGCCCACAAGATGCCGGACGCTTCTACTGCAAGGCCCGCAATGAATATGGAGAAGCCAACTCTTCAGAAGAGGTCATTGAAGTCATGTGTAAGTCCCCAAAGTCAACATGGAGGTCTGGACTGGCCAAGTCATCCTTCTAAAACTTATTAAAGAAAATACAAACGGAGTAAAAAAAAAAAAGTTCAATGTTTAAATCAGGACGGTTCGTGTGTTGGAACCCGTTATCAAATCAAAATAATCTTTTTGGTTAAAATAAGATGAAAGCAATTCTAACTCAAATGTAAACTATTGAACGCGTTCTCCCCTAGATTCTCCTCGGCCTCCGGAGGTCTCAGCGAAAGCCTCCGACGACATCCGCCCGGGCTCTTGGGTCAGTCTGACGTGCAGCAGTGATGCTAAGCCCAACGCTAGCTACGCTTGGTACAAGGCCACCGAGGAGACTCCTCTAACCACGGCGGCCGTCTACAACATCAGCGACTACCAAGCGAAGCATGCCGGCGAGTATCGCTGTGTCGCCCACAACGCGATGGGAAGCCGCAACGCCACCCTGTGGCTCCAACCCATGGCCAGTAAGTCACGGTCATCGCTCTCGGCCCCGCTTTAGTCTGGTCGGCCGCTTTAACGTTCCGCTTCTTCAGGTTCACTGACCGCGTCCATCGTGCATTATGTCGCGGCCGGCGGCGCGGTACTCGTCCTGCTTCTCGTAGCCGTTGTGCTGCTCAGGTCGGTTCATATTTCCTAAATTGGAAAAATATACATGCCCTTGGGGTGTCAAAATATTTACAGATTTTGTTTCAAATTTTGCAAAAAAATTTGAAAGTTTTTTTTTTTTTTATGTTAAAGGTCCTTAGATGTCCTCTTATTGGAAATGGCCACAATTCCATTTGGAAAGCAATTTCTTGACACACCTCTCATTCTGGATGGACCGTGTTATTATTCCAATTTAAAATTAAAAAAAAAAAAAAGGGGGTTGCTGCAAAGTGGGTCGCTGTGGCCGCGGCGCACTCTAAGGCGGCCACGCAAGTGCAAAGCGACGGTCCCCCGGAACCAGAAGTCAACACATTTCACATTATAAACAGATAAAACTTGAAATGTGTCACATTATCACATGTCACATCATGTTGAAATGTGATGTGAACTTTTATGGTGTGGCAGCAATATGCTTGTGTGTAACACAAAAAAAAAATCTGACATTTCTGGAATTTTTTTTTTTGGGGTGGGGGGGTGTTTCTTACAATTAACAAACATACAAAATGTATTTTATGTTCACTATGCAAAGGCATTAATTTAACTCTGTTTTTGTTCATGATCTTTTAGGAAAAAGATGACATCAAAAGCTCAGGTGAGAAAATAAACCACCAAAACGTTTACATTTTAACATTAACTTACAGTTTCAACAAAATGTTGAGACTTAAAAATATCCAAAACTTCCATCATTGTGAAAAAACTTTTTAAAAATGATTATTATAAGGTTTCACATTCAAAATGTATCGCTGTATTTTTGAAACTGTTAAAAATCCTGTTCAAAACCTCAAACAGATAAATGCAAATGAAAACTGCAAAAATGATCCAAAATGTCGCCAGCCAAACGCGAGTTCAGATGGAAGCAGGGGTCCTGCGGACGACCTGGTGTACTCGACGGTGACTTTCTCCAAACAACCTCACATTTACGCCAACGTCGTCGAGGCCCAGAGGCGCAAGGGCGAGGATCAGGACGAGGATGTGGAGTACAGCCTCGTCAACTGCGACGGCCACGCCTTAAAGTGAGTTCGGGCTCCTCCGTTTCTCCTAATTCTGCCCTTCTTATTATTCTCGTGGCCGTCTGAAAATCCATCCAGAAATCTGTGGTAAGTCCCCAGCACAGCCCCAAAATCTGCCTCAGTGTGCACAATGGAAAGTAAAAAAAAAAAAAAAAAAAATCAGCCCTCACCAACAGTTTCACCCATCAGCACTAAATTGGTCTATCAAGAAAGAAAGAAAAAAAAAATCTCAAGGACCCGTGCCCAAAATCGAACAGCAAGTTGGCTATTTTGGTTTGAGGCAAATTCCCTTGAATCAGCTCCCAACTTCCGTTTTATCCACCAACAAAATTGGGAGGCCTTTCGTGACAAAACGCACAAAAAATGTCTCAAGGATCCATGCCCCACATTGAAAAGGAAGTTGACTATTTTGGTTGGAGGCAGCCACTTTACAACACACCTTCATTGATATCGCGCTTTCACAACAGCTGCAAATTCCTGCAGTTTGCGCCACTTGGGAAGTTAGAAGAAAAAAAAATGGGTGGATGTCCATCCGAAAACAGATGCACTACATCGTCTCGGGTGCCTTGAGTTCAATTTGAACGCTTAAAATTATGTTCACTGGATGGCTTTTGCCCTGCTGGAGCAACTTGATGATCTCGACGGTGTTTCCATCCGCAGGCTGAAGACTCAAGAGGATGCCGGCGTGAGCGAGCTGGACAGCGCCGTGCAGAAAAGACGCATTTGACCTCAGGGACGGATCACCTGTCGACCTGACATTTGTGGCACAGCCAAAAAGTCCAACTATTTTTTATTTAACGAATTTGTTAAAGCCTTGATAGCGATGTATATAGTTAATACAAAATTAGAGAAATTTGATTAAAAAATAGATATATATTTTTTACCTTGACAGAAAAAAACAGCCATTTTTCTGCCAAAAATACAGATATTATGGGGAAAAAATTACTTTTTCGAACAATTTTTAAGACATTCATATTTTTTTACTGAGAATTTTGGTAAATTCACAATTTTTTACTTTTCGAAATATAAATTACCTCATGTGTCTGTTTTTTTAAGCGCATGACTTTTTTTTTTTTTTTACACTTGAATGAATATTGGACTTCAAAACTTTTTTTTTTAATGCTCACATTGCTTCTTTTTTTTCCCACTTGAATGTCAGGTAGAAATGGTCACACAAACATGAGCTAAAGAGTGAATATAAGTTTGGTAATCCGGGACCAAATAATGGCGATGATCACTTCAAGATTCTTGGGAAGCTTTTATTTAAAAGGATGCGCATACATCATCATTTCTCACTTGCTGTTTTGAACACAGACACACTTTCAAAGAGAAAATAACAACAACCAAAAAAAAAAAAAAAGTCGGATTGGCGTCATTTGTCTCACAAGCGGCAGGCGTTGAGCGAGAGTTCCGTGGCGGCGGCGGCCAGGTTGGCGCATTTGTCCCGCAAGATCCCGCCGGCGCATTCGGCAGGCGACGGCCAGCGTTCCACCCACGTGCCCGACCCCAGTGTGTACACAAACCTGACAACGCACAAATGGCTCAAGCGCTCACTGCACTGTATGTACTTAAGTCGAAGAAACAGATACTTGTGAGGAGAGGGGGCAAGTCGAGGTACTGATGCAACTCCTCTACTGAAGTCAAAGTACCAAAAAAAAAAAAAAAAAAAGTACAGACCGAACTTTCTCCATCATAAACGATAATGATTAGCGACCCTAAGTGTCTTTATGTTACCTGTAGTTTTTTTTGGGGGGGAGGGGGGATGCGTCTGAAGCCACGTTAACTGGCAGTACGAAATGGTGACGGCGACTTGTGTGCGTGATACTAGCGTCCCCGTTGTTGAAATTACCTGTTGTTGTCCGTGTCAACGTCCCACTGGTCCTCCTTGGGTCCGATGAGGAGGTAGTGGGAGCCCACCTTCAAGTCCAGTCCCTCTCTGCAGCCCCCGTGCGACACAAACGTCCTGGTCTGACCGGCTTTCACTCCTGCCTCCACCCCTGTTGGGACCATTTGACACCCGCTAAGTGAGGCTCCTCCCAAACATCCCCCCCCCGCCCCCCCACCCAACCCTCTCCCGAATACCGAAAAGGAAGCACTCACCCAGTTTGATAACTCGTGTGATCTCCATCTCGTACTTGTCGTAGTAACTCTGTTGGATGCTCACAACTTTTGCCTGAAAAACTGAAAACAAATATCGGGGTTGGATTAGTTTTGGGTTGGGGCTCAGATTTTCGGGAGATCAAGGTTAGGTTCGGTTTAGGGTTGGGCTCTGAAGGCTTGTTCTGAAGGGTGAGGTGAAAGCTAGGGCTGCATATTATGGTCCGGGGGTTCAGACTTAGGGCGGGGGTGCGTCATGACATGCGGCCCGCGGGGTGGACTTGGCCCACCCAGTTTTGGGCTAGGGTCAGATTCGGGGACAGGAGAGAGGGTGCCTTCTTCAGAATAGTGACAGGGGCGGGTGAGTCTTTTGGGGGTTCGAAAAGTACCGTGGTGCAGAGACTTGCAGGCAAAGGCCTCCCGCTCCTTGGCACCGAAGCTCTCGCCGTCCGCTTTGGCGACGCAGCAGTCGCCTGTGGAAGCGAGTCGACGGAAGGGTCACGGTTCGAGTCTCCATTCATGTTGCGATGGTCGTCTCTGTGCGTTTTACCTTGGGTGCAGCGGCAGATGTTTTCTTTGCAGATGTGCGTCAGATCCCCCTGGTCCTGAGGGGGCGTGTAGGTCTTACTGCAGCGGGTGTCTAATGACCCCCCCCCCAAAAAAAATATTTGTATTACTACCATGATCATCACAAATCAACATCGCCAGAAATGACCAATTAGCATGATGCTAACATCAAATGGAAACATGCTAACGAGATTATATCGCCGTTTTTTTTTTCACCAGTAAATTTGACAATCTGAACAATGATGACCAGTAATCCTTTCACAAATACACGTAACAGAAACAACTCGATACATTTATATTGGAAACTGCTTTTTTTAAGGCAGATTATTTTGCGTGGAGTTCATTAAAACAGGTAGATCAAACTTTTTGGGTCCTAAGGACCGTCGTCATAATCCTACACGAAAACCATAACTACCGTGCACCCTAAAATTCCATAGGAATTAAAAAAAAAAAAAGCCTATTTTGGGGAGAAAAAAAAAACTTGGTACCCTGCAATCACAAATTCATATTTTTGCTAAAGGAATAAAGGTGTATTTTTTTTTTCAAAATAAAAGTATCAGTGAGAAAGAACGATGTATTTATTTAGTTGGGACAAGACGAGAATAAGCAAGTCAATTTAACGAGTGGAGCAAGTCAGTGAACTATTATTATGATTATTACTTTATGGATTTTGAACATGCACTTTGATTCTCTCTCCATACGATACTCAGAAAGAAGTCTGTCATAATTAATCGCCACTGCGTCAGAGGGTGCGCCAAAGAAGTGAGAGTAGTAGAATGTGACCAGTACCGGGGTTGTAGTACTCGTACGCAGTGACCGAGGAGGGCTGCAGGAGGCCAACTTTGAAGTTCTGTTGCAGTCTGAAGATCAGGATTTCGGGCTCCTTGTGGGACACCTGAGCCAAAAACGCAAAGAACGCACCAGATGAGCCAGGACCTCGAGTGGCCCAGCGGAACCGCATCAGACGGGCCCGAGGTTGCGCTTCCGGCGACCACCTTGAACAAGTGGATGATGAAGGAGCCTCTGTCGCTGAGGTTGTCCACCATCTTGAAGTTGTTGATGTAGCGGTCCACTGAATTGGACAGCTGAACACACACACGCCATTTCATAGGATGGCGAGCAACACCAATCATATTTGTTGCCAGCCTCAGGGGACACAAATGGGCAATAACGAAAAGCATAGATGGACGTTAAGAAAAATATTGACGTACCAACTCCAGGTCGGAGGTTTCGGGGGTAAAGCCCGTCGGCAGGCTGACGTCCAGCACTGCCATCCTGATGTCGCTGGATCCCAACGCCCTGCGCCCAGCAAATACATTTGATCACGTCGTCGCATATTTTTTTTGTCAGGAATTGATTGAGCACACAGGAATTATTTGAGGGGAGGACTTCACGAAATGGATCGGGTCATCGATTTGGATGAATACACCATCTACATAGAGTAGAAACGTTGTTTAGTTTGTCAGTGTTGTCGGCACGTTTGCTTCTGCGATTAGCTGGGATTTGACGCTGTCGGCAACTTCCGACGGGGCTCTCACCTGACTTTGATGGTCATCAGGTAGGACTTCTCCACTTCGGCGGGAGGCTTTTCTGTTGCAGTTAAAAAAAAAAGAATCAAGGAAAAACGTCAAATAAAACCACAACATTCATTTCCTTTGTTGTGTTTTAAGGGATTATAAATGACCGTTTACAGCCGCAAAAGCTAACCCTTAAAAATTGTCTCGCATTTCTGATCTTTTTGGGGTTTTGCAAATACAAAACAAAAAAACAAAAAGGTAAAAATAAGATTGTGCTGCGGTGCATTTCATCAGATGGCCTTCGGGAATGTGGTTCAGACTACTCACCGCTGGATTCCTCGATGTCAACACTGAGCTCAAAGTGTTGGCATGGTGTCTTCTCGTCCACCTCATGCAGCTGGTTGTAATATGTCACCACCTGAAGTCACAACACGCAAGTTAATCGATGCTTTTGGCGGGAACCCTCTGGGCGCCGCTCGTCGTACCTCCAGTATTCCCTGCCCGCGGCCCGTGGCCTCCACGGTCAGGTCCAGATTAGCCGGAAGCTGCGCAGAAGACAAACGACAGAAAGAGACAAAGCACGGCGGCTCAGTAAAAATTTAAGCTAACGCTGCTACTCCTTAGCGCTAATGTTAAAACAAGAAAAAGCAATGACATTGTTGAAAGATACCTTTGAAAAGATTCCAACTGCTAGACTCGCGCGAGCAAAAATAGAATTAGAAACATCTGGTTGTAAAACACACTTTTCTGCTCCAAACTTCCTCGAGGCACTCGTAATTGTGGTGCTTGAACATGAAAATTAGATTTAGTGCACTTTGTCAGTAACGAATTATTAGCCAGTTCTTGTTGGAAGCTAAAAGTACAAGCTAACTTTGGCGTCAGCATTAGAGGTAACGTCAGACGGTATCGAAGCAAAAAGCTTAGTAACCCGGGAAGCAGGAACAGAAGCCACCTTTGAAATCTCCCGTTGGGAGCTGGTCCTGCTCGACCCAAATTGGACAGATAAAACTTGAAAAGCGAACGCTCGACATTGGACATGACTTCAGTCCTATCCTGCCCCTTGAGTGTTTCTCACCCGCGACGAGTGGGCGGCGTATGCGGTCCTGGCGTTGAAGTGGTAGCGGACGTCACGTCGGCCCGTGATCTTGACGTCCACGTCGAGGGAGAGATCGCCGGCAACCCGAGACTTCATCAGGTATTCGGACAGCGCCTGCAGCACCACCATGGTGGCCTGACAGCACCGTCACAGAGCAACAAAAACAACCACGTCAAAGGGCGGAGAGGAGAATGCGGGTTGTGCGGCACTTATGCCTCCGGGCCATTTGGAGTCCCACGAGTCAATCGCTCAGGAGCACTATAGCCTTTGGTGGAAAAGTCCCCGATACCTGCGTAGAACCGTAGCCTCCGCCCATCCTGCGCTGGCCGTTGATCCACTGGAAAGCTTTGGCGGCCTCCTGCATCTGACCCACCTTGACCAGGGCCAGCAATGCGTAACCGGTCGCCTCCAGCGAAAACAGATGATTGTGTGCGTCTGGCCAGTGGCTGCCTGCGGAGGCACATCAATTTGAAAACCCAACCGTGATTTAAAACCCTTATTT